ATTCCTGCTCGAAAACCTCAATTTCTAAACCTTGCAGGTCGATCCATCCGCGTGGTTACCATCACTGCCGCACAGTTGTTTGGTGTAACCCTTCCAGGATGCAAAACGCTTGTGAATGAGGGGGTAAATGAGCTTTAGACGTTGCCTTGAACTCCTGAAATCAATCCCTTGTCTTCCCTTCGCTCAGGTACCCCTCTAACATGGTGTATCAGAACGGCAGCATCGGTTCAAACGAAAGCATGGACGTGAACTGCTACCCGCCACCGCCGCAGACTGACTCTATTGTGCCACCACCTCCTTCGTTCCCAGATGACAGCCTGCCTCCACCCCCGGTGGAATTTAGGTAAGCCTACGGGATCCCTTCTGTCACCGAGGAGTAGGAGGTGGTGTAAAAGGATGACATGAGACAGGCTGAGATAGTTCAGCAGAACTTCCTGACGGGTGTTGTATGGGAACCAGAACGCTCCTGTCTGCAGGGGAAGTGCAACTGCAGGCAGGGACAGAGGCGCTGGCAGCGCAGCTCTCCATAAAATCCCAACCACCCTCCTTGTTCCCGTGCAGAAGGGGAAGAATGGGCTTGGGTGAGACCTAGAGCAGATTTCTTTCACTTTCTAGAGCAGGGTCTCAATGATCTGGCTCCATTGCACGAAGTTTTCCAGCTCCAGAGCACGCAGACCTGTGTTCATGACCGAGCCGTGCAAAGAACGGCTTCTTCGCTTTGTTTTATGTTACCGTTTGCCCTCTGATCTCTGGCAAACGCTCGGCGTGGGCGCTGAAGATGCAGATGTAGTTAAATTTAAAGGACTTGAGCGCACCAGCTGACTTCTTCCCAGAGACCTCGGTGCAAGTTCAGGGCAGCTGCTTTGAGTCGGGTGAAATGGTGACTTCCAGCCACCTCTAGAGATGAGAATTACGGTCCAGCAGTGGCTCAAGACGCAAAGGGTGACACGAGAGTAGGGTTTTATTTTAAAGGCAGTAAAACAGTCAAGAATAACAGGGGGGGACTATGTCTGATAGACAGGACTGCGTTAGCTTGTCTCCATCTTATCCAAAGGCAGCAATGCTGCAGAAAAGGCTCCTCTGATGTGTCAGAGAGACCAGGCACTCCACTCTGCACCGTGTTCCTCTAGGGCAGAGCAGAAACGAGCTTTCAGATGAAGCTTACGCTGCCTCATGCGCTTGCTTAGATCTCTGCCCAGCCACTGAGATCTCCCCTCCCTGGTTTTGTTTTGGTGGTTGTTTTTAAGGAACCCTGGGAGCCAGGTTTGATCTCTGGGAGTCTCTGTTGGATCAGCGCTGTGCACTGTTAAAAACTGTGACGTTTTTGTGGCAAACGTACCTTATTTTTCTGTCTTGCCATGGAAGGAGATGTCAGTTTAGGGCTTCCTTTACGCGCACATAGGATATTACAGTGTCTTATGGGCAGTAGTGTTTTCTGGTTTAAACACAGCTTCCATAAATGGGAAATTCAGTCACTCCAGAATCGGTGTTTTCCTTAAGACCACATTGGGTTTCCACGTCTTCCTCTTCGCTCCCCACGGCGAGCGATGAGCCATGGCTGCCACGCTCCAGCGCCGAGCCGAGGAATCCGGTGAGGAGATCTGTTCCTAGCAGGTGCTGGGAGCATATGTGCTTTCCTGGCACTCCCACCAGTCCTCGTGCGATTTATCACGGTAGACATCCCTGCTTTGGCGTGTCAGGAGCCTGACCCCAGCGAGGAGGGGTAGTGCCTTGCGTTGCTGCAGGAGCTCTTAAGCCAGGAGGCTGCTCTGAGCTCGGCCGTGACGCCTGGCCTCTGCCGCAGAGGTGAGGTGAGCTGGCTCTTGTTCTTGTCAGCCGGGAAGATGGGACAGGAGATAGCACTGCTGCCATCCCCAGAAGCTTTCCTTTCTTCTGGTGGTGCAGGCCAAAAGAAACGCTGTGAGGGAACGAAAACCAAGGAGCGAGGTCTCTTGGAAACAGCAGTTAAAGCTGGAACTTGGATTTTTGTCTGGACTGCACCAAGCACACATGATTTGCATTAACGATGAGATTGTACAGTCTAATCTGGCCTCGCAGCTAATAGCCTTATTTCTCTCCTCCTGTTGCAACAGCTATCCTGCAGACAACCAAAGAGGCTCTGGCTCTGGAGGGACCAAACGATCCAGCCTGGTCAGCCCCAGTCACCCACCACCAGCTCCTCCCATCGGATCCCCCTCAACCACCAGGCCGGGCTTTGCCCCCCC